AGTCTGTTTGTGCTAACGCGTTACACAAATATAAAAGTGACCTGTTCTTTATTTTATACTCCTACATTGGAATAGTCAGCTGTTCTTGAAAGTGACACTGCTGGTGCAACCATCAACCGCAATATGAGAGACAACAATAACACATAATTTCCCTCCCCCGAGACGTGCACAAACAGCCAGCAGGTGGCTAGCAACAGGACTCACTGGTGCACAGGAAGGCAAGAATCCACCAGCCAGCTCCACCCTTACCAGTAATAGCAGAACTCCAGAGGCTCTAGTCGTGATCACAGAAACTTGGATTCAGAGAAATCTCCAGGATACAGTCCTTCTGCCCCCTGAAACAGAAGCTGTTAGGGGATCAACCCCACTCGTCAGCCCTGTTTTATGGACTTTTTTAAATTCTTAATGAGACCTCTTACCGCAGCACTCTGCCCATTGATCGTTTGACGCAGCCAGTCCTCCTGGACTTTTGTCCGCCTGGAAAGAACTTCTTCATGCTTACAAGAATACCTCCAGGTGACATCAACAACCTAGGTATAAAAGATTGCTTAAAAATTGTATCTCTAACAAGTTTAAACTCACAACACAAGGCAAGTCAGAGTTTTCTGGTGATAAGATGCAATCGACTGTGCTCAAACAACAGCTCAGACTCCATCAACCACCATGAAACCATGAAACCATGAAAAATGACTCTTCATTTACCTCATCTTTGGAAAAAGCAATGATGTATGAGAGTTTCTTTCCCCAGCCAATCTCATACAAGAGAGGCTTGTCGCAGACATTTTCACACGGGTCACAATGCAGCCATCTGCTCTGAGAGGTAGAATAAACTTCTGTCCAGACGTGATCTGGATTACACAGAAAAAAAAAGCAGCTAAAACAAGAAATGCTTGGCCTATACTTCATGCCTTTAGATTTTATTCTTACGATATGAAGTTTGGTCTAAAATGTGTAGTTAAGTTACCGAATAATTCCGCATATCTTCCTTTTATCTCAAAATGGTCATACTTTAGTTTTGAAATGAAAAACTCTCAAAAAAATCATTTCATACTTGAAAACAGATTTCACAAATTCACAACTGATTTTTGCTGC